GAGAAAAAGAGAGACAGAGAAAGACCCCTGGATTGTTGGTGATCAATTGGTCGCTAGTAACACCAAATGACCCACCTCAAGGGGTCATTTCGTAGAAAAAGAGGTGCAGGAGCTCATTAGCGGAACTCATTAGCGTAACTCATTTGCATATGCCACCCCCCCTGACATCACTGGAAGTGTGTCAGAAGGCAACACCCACCGCTCAGGCTCCACTGGACTGTTTTGGATTGCTAGCTATTGGGGGGGGGAATGTGCAGATCTGTCCTCGCAGAGGAGGGAGAGCTTGTACCTGAATAAAACTTGGTCTTAAAGGTGCCACTGGACTGTTTTGGACTGGGGGCGGGGGCTCTGCAGCTTACCTGGCTGCTTCTTGCTCTGACTGAGGGCTGCTGGGAGCAGGGGGTGGGGCTTGTTGCATGTGCCCGCCCCCTGGGCTCTTTACTGCTGGAGCTCCGCTTCTGTGCGCTCCTGCAGGAAATGACCCCTGCCCACCTCTAATGATATATTTCATTTCAATTGTGTGCCTCAGTGTACGGCAGTGCCACATGGGACTCAGGACAGTATATAGGTTCCCTAATTCTGTTTTGTCCTCACAACAACTGTATGAGGTAGGTTAGTGTCTGGCCAAAGGTCCCCTGACCTGGATAGCCCAGGCTAGCCCAATCTCGTCAGATCTCAGAAGCTAAGCAGGGTCAGCCTTGGCTAGTATTTGGATGGACGACCTCCAATAAATACCAAGGGTGTGATGCAGAGGCAGGCAATGGCAAATCACCTCTGAAACGTCTCTTGCCTTAAAAAAACCAAGTCTAACTTGCCACCAAGTGATGCATACCGCTAAAAGAGCTAGAACTTCTGGCTGCCAGACAATCTTAGGCTCTCCTGCCTATACTACACCCACTGCCATACAATAATTATTTATTATTACCAAGTGATTGTCCATGGATGGCTGGGGATTTTGCCCTGGGTCTCCTTCTTCTTAGTCCAGTGCTACAACCGTTATACCTCACTGGACCTCATTTCTGCAGTCAATAACCTATTCAGCATATAAAGGATGTTGACCTATTTAGCATAGTTTATGCTGATAATCCTAGGGAAGGATGAGGAATGGTGTAAGGACACTAAATCTCTGCCCCCGGGTGCTACTGCATTTCCCCCCCAAATCTGACTGAACCTTATCCACTCACTGGCAAGCCTCTGTTAGCATCTCACAATCTAGAAATGTCTTATAATAGATGCAAAAAAAAAAAAAAAAAAGACAGAGAGCCAACTCTTCTATCTTGAGAGAGTCAAATCTTCTATCCTCCACTTGCACCTGGCTGGATGACCTTGGGCAAGCCATAGCTCTGATAAGAGCTGTCCTTGAAAAAGAGCAGTTTCTGTCAAGGGCTCTCTCAGCCCTGCCTACCTCACAGGGTGTCTGTTGTGGGGAGGGGGAGGGAAAGGAGGTTGTAAGCCGCTCTGAGACTCCGAGTGACGGGCGGGGTATAAATCCAATCTCTTCTTCTTCTTTTATCTTGCTTTCTTAAAATGTATAGAAGAGACAGCACAGTTGCCAATGAGTCAAACTAGGATCTGGGAAACACGGGTTCAAATCCACACTTAGCCATAAGGTCACCAAATCCATTTTAGGATATTCCTAGAGATATGGGGGCTTGGCCTACGGAGGGCAGAGTCTAGGGAGGAGAGAGAGCTCTGCAGGGATGCAGGGTCACTCTAGGACTTCCATTTCCTCCCTCTAGGGTTGCCATTCCCCAGGTCCAGGTGAGGAATCCCTCGGTTTTGGGGGCTTCTGCCTGCTACCGACCAGTTGGCCGGCAGGGGAAAACCCACCCCCAAACAACGACATCACTGCGTGACATCCCCAACACACTGGCGTCACCTGGAAGTGATGTCGTGTCGGGGATGTTCTAGCTTTGAGGCAAAACTCTATGGTTTGACCCCAACTTTACCATAGAGTTTTGCCCAAATACCAGAGTGTCGCCCCCACAATATCACTGACACAATGACATAACTTTTGGATGACGTCAGCACATTGGGAACATCCCGGCCCACTCCCGGAACACCCCCCAGATCCCACTGCCAGCAAGATGAAGGGCCCTGGCAACCTTACCCCCCTCCAAAGCTGTCATTTCCCCCAGGAAGCTGATCTTTGTAGTCTGGATACCAGTTGTAATCCCAGTCCCCACCCTGAGGTTGGCAAATTTATTCAGCCATGAAACAAAGTGTGTGACCTTGGGCCAGTTGCTCTTCTTGGCCTAATCTACTTTACAAGATTGTTGTACTGGTAAAATGGAGGAAGGAAGAATGATGTATGTCACTCTCGTAGGGAAGCCAGCCTCCAGGTTGGAGTTGGGGTAGCTTATCCCCAGACTACAGAGAGGGTGGACTCTATAGCATTGTATGCCACTGAGGTCCCTGTTGTCCCTGGGCCCCATCCCCAAATCTCCAGGAGTTTCCCAAATGGGATCTGGCAACCCTACTCCCCCATCTGCCCACTGGCAGCCAGGGAAGACCTGGCAAGTGTTCCCTCTAAGCTGAGTTAGTGTGAGCTAGCTCAGTTTTTAAGCCTCTGGCTCACACATTTTTGTCCTAGCTCAGGAAGGAGGGCACCAGAGCAAAATAATTCATGCAGCAGCCAAATAGCTCGCTCACAATTTTAATGCCGGTAGCTCACAAAGGAAAATTTTGCTCACAAGACTCCACAGTTTAAAGGGAGCATTGCCAACAACTCTATCACTCTGAGGTGTTTTTTTTTTTTTTTGAGGAATGCATACAAATAAATAACGAGAGTAGTCAGCAAAATTTATCAGGGATCTTTTCTACCACCGCTTCCCTACTTCCCTTCTTTTCTCTCTGCCTCTCTTCTGCTTCCACCGAATGTCTCGTTGGCAAAACGTAACCCCAAGGTTTTCAATGCCATATTTAAAAATTGGGGGGTTGTGTAGAATCGAGTTTGTGAAATGCTTTTGGTTATCCAGCCAGGCCGTTCTCTAGCTAACCATTGTTTGCTCTCCTCCAAGCAGACAAAATGGCTAACTGCAAAGTTCTCTCCCTCCATCTGGTCTGGGGACAGGTTTGCTAGGTCTCCTCCCTCCTGTCCCCCACTGGCCCTTTCCACCATTGCTCAGCTGGATGGTGGAGGGGAAATGGTGAGGGAAATGGGGGTGGGAGGGAATCCCAATGCCATTGTGTCAATTACATTGGGAGAATGTAAGAGCATTGCTGGTGATGTGATGATGTCACTTCTGGGTCACACCAGAAGTGATGTCACTGCATTGTCAGCAAGGCCCCCCAAAAAGTGAGTCTTCTGCCAGCAACCCTATCTGGGGATAGGCCAGTTTGGTGTAGTGGTTAAGTGCGCGGACTCTAATCGGGGAGAACCGGGTTTGATCCCCCACTTCTCCACTTGCAGCTGCTGGATGACCTGGGGCAAGCCGTAGTTCTGATAAGAGCTGTTCTTGAAAAAGAGCAGTTCTCTCAGAGCTCTCTCAGCCCCACCTACCTCACAGGGTGTCTGTTGTGGGGAGGGGAAAAGAAAGGAGTTTCTAAGCTGCTCTGAGACTCCTTTGGGTAGTGAAGGGCGGGGTATAAATCCAATCTCTTCTTCTTCTTCTTCTATCAAGGATAGGCAAGATAACTGCAACTGGTGCCCTGTTCTTTTGTATCTCTTTGTTAGGCAGAGTCTCAGGAAGAAAGCAATGAGGAAATGGTTCAAATTGCCAACTGTTTGGCTTGATATTGTAGGGGGGCGGGTCATGTCTCATGTACCAAAGTGCCTTTGCACACAGTGGAGGCCTTGTTTGGTCAGAATGGCTGCTATGAAATTAACAGGCCCTCTCGTGGACTTTAGTGCGCCATCTGGGGTGGTTGTTATGGCTGCCGCTGTTGTTGTGTCTCTGAGGCCACCTTCCTCTCCTGTAACTGTTTTGTTCTGCCTGCTTCTTGAAAGTGTTGTTAGATGGAAACTTTTGCTAGATCCGTTTCCTTATGAGAAGAGAGTACTGGAGCCATGTGACATTTTTGTCATAGCTACTTATTTGCAAATAGGCACGTTGAGCACAGAGGAGCAAGTACCTCACAAGGTAGCACGAGGTGGTACTAAAAAGGATAGCATTAGTTTCCCAAAAGGTCAACGGCATACTCTTATCAGCCACATGCAAAACAGACCTTTCTCTTTTGTGGGCAACATTCAATTGCCAAAATAACTGCAGTGTGCCAGAAAGTAGAGCCTCTGTATTCAGAGGCAATCTACCATATGCTGGAGACAGAGACAGTGGGGCAGTCTGTGGCCTTCATACCTTGTTGGGAAACGTCTGATGCTAGGAGACAGAATGCTGGGCTGGATTTGGTCTGATCCTGCAAACTCTAGCCTCCGTATTGTAGGCACCAGTAACCTCCAAATTAGATCACTGCAGTGTAATACATTCAGTGTGGGAAAATATTTGGAGAATGTTAATTCGTTGAGTCGCTATTTTAGGATTGCATTGTAAATGTCTGAGGTCTATGGGCCTAGTTAAGCATTATGACTTTCTTGCATCCATCCTGGGTCCTGTCAATCAGTTGTGCACTGTGAGTTCTGTGCTCAGAACTCAGTTCCGAAGTGAATGGGGCCTTTGGGACAGTGGCATGCAGGGTGAGGTGTCTTAACCCCTTCCCTCCATGTCATTTTCCTGACTTGAAATGGCCCTGGGGAGCTACCATTGGCCCCGTTAGGAGTGATGTGCTGCCTATATGGAAGTTTCCACAACAGGGCAAATCGTGGCTCTCTGGGGTCTGGAAAACTGGGGGGGGGGGGATTAAACCTCTTCTCCCTTGTGCTGTTGTCCTGACCTTAATCGGGCCTCTGCATACCTGGGAACTGAGTCCTGAGCGTGAAATTTACAACATGCGTCTGATCGACAGGATCCATGATGGGCTCTGGGGGGCTTTGAGTAAAACAGTGTAGTTAGGTCCTAAGTTCCTGAGTGTTGAACAAAGCTGTTGTCTCTTCTGCTCTTCAGGATGTCTTTGAAAACAAGCCCTCGGTGCCAGAGTACAAAATTGCCTCGGTACAGAAGTCGCGCTTCATCCTTCTCCACTACAGCATCTTCAAGGCCTTGTGGGATTGGCTTATCCTTCTGGCCACCTTCTATGTGGCTGTGACCGTTCCTTACAACGTTTGCTTCACCGACTCCGACGACAGTTTGGCGACCGCCCGCAGCACCATTGTCAGTGATATCGTCGTGGAGATGCTCTTCATCGTGGGTGAGAATGGCAAAACTCATGTCTTCTCCGGGAGGGCGGGTCCTTTAGCTAAGGTGGGTTGATGGGGATCACGTATCACGGGCTCAACCTGAAGAGGGGTACAAAACTGACATCGAGGTTTTTAAAGACGACTGTTATGTATGCGGACCGCCACCAGGGGTACGCGGCTAAAGCAGGAGCTTGGTCCCCAAACACAAAGGGGACATAGGATCCTAGTCCACCTCGAGTCCACCAATAGCACTCTTGGCGGGAAATTCAAACTCTCCTATGGGGACAGAGGTGTGCCAGGTGGAGTGTATATAGTTGGCCTTGCAGGGCCATTTTTCCTTGTCTTGTTGTGAAGTACAATAAACGCGTCTGAATGCATGTTGTAGTCCGAGTTCTCCATGCGTCGAACCCAGTACTTTTTAACGACATTAAACTCTGCCGTATTTTCTGTTCAGTTTGAAACATGGTAGGGTTGCCAGACCCCCGGTCTGGGTGGTGCTTTCACTAATTTTCAGGGCTTTAGCCCGCCGCCGGCCAGCCTCCTTGTGCGGCAAGCCCCACCCCTGAATAGCCTCCTTGTGTGGCCATGTCGCATAGAGTTTTTCCCTAAGTGCTAGACCAGGGGTGGCCAAACTTGCTTAACCTAAGAGCCACATAGAATAAACGTCAGATGTCTGAGAGTGACAAGACATGAACAGATATTACCCACGTGTTTTTATTGAAAAATATGCAAATCTGCTTTTTTATTAACTGTAAATGAGACTGCCAAAAAAAGGTAATTTACAGTATGAAACAAAACAGATAACAATTTTTTTCTAGAATACTACAAGAAACTCTATGACACCAAAGAACCACAGCCAGATCCTATTAATAGTTATTTGGAGACTCACTATAACAATATTAAGCTATTAGCAGAACATAAAGAATTGATGGAAAGTCCTTTCACTGAAAAAGAATTAATTCAAGCAACTGAAAAATCAAAATGCAATAAAGCTCCTGGCCCAGATGCCTTTATCTCAGAAATATACAAAAAATACAAGGAAATCCTGACAAATTTGCTTTTTTATTAACTGTAAATGAGACTGCCAAAAATAAAAACAAAAGGGGTAAAAACAGTTATTGATAATGATATTTATTTGCCTTCTCCAAGGTGCCTGGGGGGGGGGGCCGCTTTAAAAATGCATTTGAAAATGCACTTAAAGTTGAAGTTGCTTTCTTTCTCTGCTCCCACCCACACACCTCAAGCCTACCCAGGGAGGGGAGCACTGGCTGGGGAAGGGAAGACTGATCGGGGAGGCATGCCTCCCCTCCCCTTCACTTCCCCAGCCGCCCTGCCGGGAGCCGCAGAATATGTGTGCAAGGGTTTGGCCACCCCTTTGCTAGAGCGCACCCGTGCAGCTTCCCCAGCGTTTAGTTTTTAGTTTAGTTTTATTATTACGGTCTTAAGACCAGCATCCCCGGCGTGATTATTATTATTTATTATTTATTTTAATTAATTAATTTCTACCCCGCCCTCCCCGCCAAAGCAGGCTCAGGGCTGCTTACATGGGGTAATAAACACATAAAAGAAATGCATCTAAAATCACAACAGGATACACATAAAAACATACAAAGTGCTGGCGCTGAATTAATTCATTTATGATGGCGGGTGATGATGTCACTTCCAAGCAATGTCGTCGCCCCCCCCCGCCCCCGCCAACAGGGTAAGTTGACCTGGCAACCCTAAGTGAAGCTCCAGAAATCCCTTTACTGTCACTCCCCCAAAGAGCCCAGATAACTCAGAGAATTCTGGGAACATTAGCATCCGTTTGAGAGCGTCTGGCAAGCACAGTCCCAAGCAGAGTCAGACACTCTCAAGGCCACAGGGTTCAGCGGACGTAGCAGGGCACAAACCTGTTGATTTCAACAAATCTTCGCATTCCCAGAGTATCATGAAAAAAATACTTTTCTGGGAGTGAGTCCTATTGAATAGACCTGAGTAGGATTCCAAGTAAACCTGCTTAGGGTTGCTCTGTAGGAAATTACTTTTATTTAGATCGTATTCACTGTTGTGGGTAGGAATGGAACCAGCCCATTCAGAGGCAGTAGACCTCTGATTACCACTTATTATGGCTACCTCCACTTGACTTTGTTTGTGAGGGGCTTATCCTTCCTTTGGACCCCACACCTTTCTTCCATACCCTGGTAGAATATGCAGGGTTGGCACTGCTGGTATAGCAAGCAGGTGTGATTGGTAATCATTGCAATGGGGACATGTATGCAGTGTGTAAACCCATCACTTTTCTTTCTAGAGAGCCAGTGTGGTGTAGCGGTTAAGAGCGGCAGACTCTAACCTGGAGAACTGGGTTCACTTTTACACTCCTCCACAGGAAGCCAGCTGGGTGACCTTGGGCCAGTCAAAGCTCTTTCAGAGCTCTCTCAGCCCCAAAAACATGTCTAGCTCGCCAACTAGTGGTGTGTAACACTAAAAAAGCTAGAACTTTAGGCTGCCAGACAACCTTAGGATTTCCTGGCTATACTAGAGAGCGAGTTTGGTGTAGTGGTTAGGAGCACGGACTCTAATTGGGGAGAACCGGGTTTGATTCCCCACTCCTCCACATGCAGCTGCTGGTGTGACCTTGGGTCAGTTACAAGTTGTCTCAGCTGTTCTTTCAGGAGCAGTTCTCAAAAGAGCTCTCTCAGCCCCACCTACCTACCTCACAGGGTGTCTATTGTGGGGAAGGGATGGGAAAGGGGATTGTAAGCCACTCTGAGACTCCCTTGGATAGTGAAGGGCAGGGTATAAATCCAATCTCTTCTTCTCTTCTTCTTCTACACACAATGCCATATGATAATTATTATTAATAATTTTCTTTCCCTGCAGACATCATCCTGAACTTCCGGACTACGTATGTCAGCCAGTCGGGCCAGGTGGTTTATGATAGCCGGTCCATCTGCCTCCACTACGTGGCTACGTGGTTCTTCGTGGACTTGATTGCGGCCTTGCCCTTTGACCTCCTGTATGCCTTCAATGTCCCAGTGGTAAGCGACTCTTCAAGCCTGTTCCTCAAAGCTGAGGCCGTCAGCAAACCCTGGGGTGGAGGTGGGGGCTCGGGGCTTAACTACATATTAACACTGAGGGATGAGTGAAAGAAGCTCCCAGGTTTTTTCTTCAAAATTGCTGTGCAAGAGGACAGGCTCTAGTCAGGGCTGCAGCACTACAGAGGAGGTTTAAGCCTTCCTTCCACGTCACTTGGGGAGGGGCCACGGCACAGTGATACAGCATCTGCTTTGTAGGCAGAAGGCCCCAGGTTCAACTCCCGGCATCTCCAGTTAAAAAGGACCAGGCAGTGGGTGATGTGAGAGACCCTTGGCCTGAGACCCTGAAGAGCCTCTGCCAGTTTGAGGAGATGATACAGACCTTGATGGACCCGTGGTCTGATTCAGTATAAGGCAGCTTCATGATCTCATGTGTTTATTTCCCCAGTCTTAGAGCCCAGCTATACAATTTCATCATTTATTGGTCCTGTCCTCGGACTGCCCTGGGTCCTTTTAGCTAGGCTTGCTCTAGGAGCTCATGCTGAAACTTTATTCCAAAGCATGTGGGGGTCTGATTTGCATCATTTATGGAGAAAGGAAGCTACCTGCCCCATAGCTTCTCTGCTTGAGAGGACCCAAGGCATACACCAGAGGGACAAAGACAGGGTCGCTGACCTCAAGTGGGTGGCTGGAGGTCTCCTGGGGTTACAGGCAGTAGAGATCAATTCACCAGGAGAAAATGGCTGCTTTGGAAGGTGGATTCTATGGCATTGTGCCCCGCTGAAATCCCTCCCCCCCTCAGGCTCTACCCCCTCAAATCTCCAGGTATTTCTCAACCTGGAGTTGGCAACCCTAATGAATGATACATTTATCATGTAGTTAGGTCTGGAAACAGCCGCAAGGAGACTCTATTTGCCCCAGAATCATTTTAGACTGAAAAACTGGGAATCATGTGGTTGGGTGGATTAACCCTTCCAACATGCGGCAGTCCAGTTTGGAACTGGTCTCACTCCTGGGAGTGATTTTAAAAGTTAGTAAGATACCATGAGCTCTCCCGACATCAGATCTGAATCTGCTCTCTTCTGCTGGAACTGCGGAACTTTGTAGAGAAAGTAGCTTACGCCGCTATGCTTCCCTCTGCCTTGGAGGCCTGGAAGTGCACACCTTTTGTCCTTGTAAAGATAAATGTGTTGTAAAGTTATGTGCACCATAAACTGGATGGTAGGAGTGCCAGGTTCCCTCTTGGCCACCGGCGGTGGATGGGTGGGTTGGGTTGCCAGCTCCAGGTTGGGAAATTCCTGGAGATTTGGGGGTGGAGAACAGGGACCCCAGTGGGGTACAATGCCACAGAGCAGGGGTGTCGAACTCACTTGTTATGAGAGCCGTATCTGACATAAATGAGACCTTGTTGGGCTGGGCCATGTGTGTCATAAAATGTAATGCCAGGTAGCAAAGATATAAACTTTATAAAGGACACAGACAAACATAATTAACTTTCACATTGTTTTCTTACTGAGAAAGACTGGATCATGAGGGCATGAACACAGTGAAAAGGGGGAGGGAACCCAGTTGCACCCAGGAGAGCCCAACAAAACACACACAGCATAAGGAGCCCAACAGAATACAAACACACTGTAGCAAGGAACACAGAAGTGCATACCTTGAACAAAACTTTGTTGGTCTTAAAGGTGCCTAGTATTTTTGCCATGCAGTTGAGGCAGTCCAGCAAAGCAGGTTCTCACTCGTTCCCTCCCTCCCTGCCTCCCTTCAGGAAGGAGCCTCACTGTGTGGAAGGAAAGAAAGGCTTCCCTTTGTCTCATGAATACGATTGAGGCAGCCTGGCCAGGAAGCAAGCTCTAGCTGGTTCCCTCCCTCCCCGGGAGTGGGAGGGGGAGGAGCCTCAGTCAGTGCTTTACCAGACTCTCTCAATCGCACAGGAGAGGCTTGCCTATCTATCTCTCCTGTGTGGCTGAGAGAGTCTAGTAAAGTAAGCTGTGATATAGCAGCAGCAGCAGAACTGGAAAAGGAAGCAGAAAACAGCCCGGGCCTTGTGGGCCGGATTGCAGCCCTCCGAGGCTGCATGCCATAGAGCCTGCCCTCCAAAGCATCCATTTTCTCTAGGGGAACTGATCTCTGTAGTCTGGAGATGTAATCCCAGGAGATCACCAGGTCCCACCAGGAGGCTGGCATCCCTACTGGATGGCCCAGGCTAGCCCAATCTCATCAGGTCTCAGAAGCTAAGCAGGGGCTCAGCCCTAGTTAGTACTTGAATGGGAGACCACCAAGGAAGTCTAGGGTTTCTACACAGAGGCAGGTGATGAGAAACTGCCTCTGCTTGTCTCTTGCCTTGAAAGCTGCATGGGGTTGCCACGGGTCAGCTTTGACTGTACAGCACTTTCCACCACCAAAGTCATGTGCACAAGATAAAGTGGCACAGAAATGTTTAAAAGGTGATGCTAAAGGAATGTGCTCTTATTCCAAGTGTGTGTATGGGGGGGGGGGAGATGAGCTTTTGGTTAGAGTGTGGACTGAAAAGCACTTTTCATTTGCTCACATGATAGCATTTATATACTGCTTTAGCCCTATGAGTATGTTATCTGAACAATCTTTGCAGCAGCTGGTGTAAGGTAAGCCAGTGTTATCCTCACATTATTAAGAAGGAGGCAGCATACGGGAAGTGACTTGCCCAAATGCTGCCTAATGAATTCATGATCAAGGTGAGATTTGAACCCTGTACTTCTTGATTCAGTGCTTTTGTTCTTAACAGCTATGCTGCATTAGCTTTAATGCTGCTTACTTCCCAGGTTTGAATCCCACTTTTTGACCCTAATTGGGGTGCAGGTGGGGATTAACTAGGGATGACAGAAATATACTGGTGTGTCTCCAGCCATCTGCGGAGTTTGCAGAATAGGCCTTTGTCATTTCCCGCTCCCACTGCAGCCCCTGGAGCCTCCTGAAGTTTTGTTCCTGGGAGTCAGTAGACTCTCCAGAACAACATAGAGGCAAAGCTGGAGTCTACAGCGGGCGGGGGAATCAGCAGAACTCGCCCCTTGCTTTTCTGAAAGCCAGTTTGGTGTAGTGATTAAGAGCAGCAGACTCTAATCTGGAGAACTGGGTTTGATTTCCTACTCCTCCACATGAAGCCAGCTGGGTGACCTTAGATAAGTCACAGTTCTCTCAGAGCTGTTCTCTCAAGAGCAGTTCTCTCAGAGCTCTCTCAGCCCCACCTACCTCACAGGGTGTCTGTTGTGGGGAGAGAAAGGGAAAGGAGATTGTAAGCCGCTCTCTGAGCAAAGGGCAGGGTATAAATCAAACTCTTTTTCTCGTTCTCCTTCTGCTTCTGCTTTTGTTTCTGCTTTTGCTTCTTCTGCAAATGGAAATGCTGTTCTTTCAAGGGAACTGTGTGGCAGGAGTTCAAAACTGATCTTGTGGCTGAGCCTGTTGAGGGAAATCAAACTCTTTGGTTGCCACAGATCAGCAACTGTGGTGGTGTTTGCTTGCTGGAACATGGACCCAAGGTAGAGGGACCCGTGGCTCAGCAGCAGAGCATCAGCTTGGCATGCAGAAGGCCCCAGGTTCAACCCCTGGCATCTCTGGATAAAAGAATCGGGTAGCTGCCAGTCAGAGCACACAATATGGATCTTGATGGACCGATGGTCTGATTCAGTAGAAGGCAGCATCATGTGTACATGACACAAATCGGTACCTATCAGGCTCATGGAAAGGCGTGTTGCTATAGCATAGGAGATGAGAAAAGGGACCTGTATAGAAGTTGTGCAGAGAAACCACCTACACATTCTAATTTCTCCAGTGACACAAATCCCAGCTTAGCACTGAAGCCTGCGTCAGTACAGAATGAGGGCTGGTTTTGCAGGCGTCAGACCCAAAGTGAGGACACCCGAGTATGGCCACACAGCCAGTCTGCATGGGGAAGCTGCTTTGATATTAAAAATCTGTCAGAGGCACTTAATAAATTTTCATTTTGTTTGTTTAAACCGATTCTTTTAAAGAGAAGTGAGCCAGGACTGAGATTCAGTTCAAAAACACCTTTCAAAAGGCCTTTAAACCTGTAGCAGAGAGCTGCATACATTCCAGAGAATGTTCTTATCAGGGGAAGGCCTCGGCCTCTCTGCCCTGCTGTTGGCCCTCCAGAGGAACTGGTTGGCCCCTGTGTGAGACAGGGTGCTGGGCTAGATGGACTCTTGGTCTGATCCAGCAGGGCTCTTCTGACATTATTTTGTTCTTATCGTTTTTCCACCTCCCCCTTTCCCAGACCTATCTGGTACACTTGTTGAAGACGGTGCGCCTCCTCCGCTTGCTTCGTCTGCTCCAGAAGCTGGACCGCTACTCGCAGTACAGTGCCATGGTCCTCACATTGCTCATGTCCATGTTTGCCCTCTTGGCGCACTGGATGGCCTGCATCTGGTACGTCATTGGCCGGAAGGAGAGCCATGACCCAGTGACCTGGGACATTGGTGAGTTTTGAGGAGGACAGGAAATGCTGCTTTACTGAAATGAGTGAAATGAGATGGGCTCCCCTTTCGGAGCCCATTGAAGGGCCAAAATGTATTTTGGGAGGCCAAACAAGATGGAGGGTAAAGACTGATGGTACAGGAATAAAAGAACCGGAGCTTGTTCAGACGCGCCCACTCAGCCTTCAGTACAGAAGTTCCTGTTTCTCTTTGCCGGGCTGAGCACTGATCAAGCCATTCTGCAAGTTTGTGGGACAGCTTAATTTGAATTGGGTACCACCAGCTGGTTGTGGCTGTGTCTCCGTGGTAACAGCATCTGTTTTGCATGGGGAAGGTTCCCGGTTGTCATCAAGTAACAGGTGATGGGACTGGGAGAGTCAGTGAGTAAAGACAAGGTTGACCTTAAATGGCCCATGATCCGATTCAATAATAAGGCATTTTCACGCGGGGGGTAATTGGCTAGCACCCATGCCACTACTAACACCTCTCCCTGCTCCATCTCTAAAATAAGCTGTGCAACCATTGTTTTTAATTAAAAAAAATAAGGTAAGGTGTATCATACAAGCATACATGTGATACTTAGGGGCTTTTTAAAAGTGTTGGGCTTGTGGAAAGTATTGTGGGGATACTCATCTGTCATGGAAAGTACAAAGCCAGGTTACAGAGGAAGAACCCAGTGTGCCTAGGGTTGCCAACCTCTAGGTAGTACCTCACCAATGTCCACTGTGCAAAAATTATTCTAGTCCAATTACAGTCCACGAATTTTCTTTTTGTTTCTTTATTTTACATCATGCAGTGCTGCTGCTGCTTCCAACAATTGCCATGCGACTACAGATTTCCCGGGTAAACAATCTGTTTCCCTCAATGCTTTGTCAGGTCGCTTTATACTTGGAGCCCATGTTCTGCATCTCCTACTCAGAATTAATCTTGTATTTTCTCGGCATCTGCTGGCTCCCATACCTGTAGTCGCATGGCAATTGTTGGAAGCAGCAGCAGCACTGCATGATGTAAAATAAAGAAACAAAAGAAGAAGAAGAAGCAGCAAATTCGTGGACTGTAATTGGACTAGAATAATTTTTGCACAGTGGACATGGGTGGGGGGCAACCTTGGTTGAGTCACTGTGGTCCAGTTGTGGCTTGAACCTCCAGGTGGTGGCTGGAGATCTCCCACTGTTACAACTAATCTCCAGGCAGCAGAGATCCGTTCCCCTGGATGGGATAGGATAAAGTTTTATTTACGGCCGAAGCCAGCAGTTAACATTTGAAACACTACAAACTTAGTAGTAAAAAACACCTATGAATAAAGGTAAAAAGGCTTAACAGAACAGTAAAATGCATTATAAAAGACGTAATCAATTCCTTAGGAGGTAGACGGTTAACAATAAAACGATTAACGTTTAGCTTGCTGTGTTATTATAGATTTTCTAATTCTTAAAACACTCCATCCAAATCTAGCCACTTGGTGTGTTACCTCCGAGTGCCTATCTGAGAGGAGGTTTTTCATAATACGGGCTCTTTGCCTACTGGTTAGAGGTAAGGACATGGGGAATGAAAGAGATTTCCGGACATTATTATAGGCCTTACTGTCAAACATAACATGTTCTAGATTTTCAATGCCTACATTACAGCAGGGGCATATGCATTCCCCGAATGGGATTTTCTTATACTTTCCCTCTGTATTCGCTAAGGGAAGAGCATCCCAGCGCATAAGTGTAAGTGTTCTCCAATATTCGTGGTTTGACAGATGGTAAAAATAGGCCATAGGAGTTACTCTGTTGATGGAGTCAAGAAGTGTGTGCCATTTCTCTGTTCTACCTATATCGTTCTGCCTATCAGTATCCATAATCCTCTGTTTTATCATTAGTTCCCCTGGAGAAAATGGCCACTTTGAAAGGTGGACTCTATGGCATGACACCCCATTAAAGTCCCTCTCCTCCACAAATCCCACCCTCCTCAGGCTCCCCCCCCCCAAATCTCCAGGTATTGACCAATCTGGAGCTGGCAACTCCAAGTGTAACTGATCTTTAAGCATCCTACTTGCCTTTGTTATTATGAATCAGGGCTTTATGTACACCGAGTGCAGTATTGGGGGTGGGGTGCTGGGGACCCCAAACCCTGACCCACCCGCAGGGTTAACCTCTCACTATGCCTGCAGGCTGGCTGCACGAACTGGGCAAGCGGATAGAAGCCCCATACCTCAACAGCTCCGTGGGCGGACCGTCCCTCCGTAGCGCCTACATCGCTTCGCTGTACTTCACCCTCAGCAGCCTGACCAGCGTGGGCTTTGGCAACGTCTGCGCCAACACGGATGCCGAGAAAATCTTCTCTATCTGCACTATGCTCATTGGTGGTGAGTCAGGCACTGGGCGTGTCTTTCGTGAGTGTACTGTGGAAAGTGTCGCTTTGGCACCAGATGGAGGACCTGTCACCTGGAGAATCTCGGAATTCCTTTTAAGAGGTGTGTTTCTAGCTCAGGGAACCTTTTTTGAGCCTGCAGGCGCGTTTGGAATTCTGACACGGCATGATAGGCACAGCAACAAAACGGATGCCACAAAATGTCTGCCCCAGGAAATGGAGTGAGCCACAAAATGGTTGCCACCGCTTAACTTTAATTATACAATACAGATCCTTGTGTTGTGCTGGTAGCTCCTGCCAAAGCGATATTTGTGGGGGTTATATATGTTTTTTCCAAATATATGTGTGTGCATGTGTGCACCTGGAAGTCATAGCGATCTCTGGTGACTGACCCCCAGCCCCGTAGCTAGGGAATTCTTTGGGAGGGGGCCTCGGGGGGCCCACCAGCTAATTAAATGGAAGTACAGTGCAGGTGGTAAGTTGGAGCACTTTGGGGGCAGCCCAGGAGGGAGGGGCCCCAGAAGAAACACTAGGGGGCTGGGCCCCGTGGGCCCCATGTTAGCTACGGGCCAGCTGACCCCTACTGGGGGCATGGAGGATATTCATAGAGGTTGCTGAATAAAGCCTGCCCCCGCTTCCCAGCTCTGGTATTTCAAGAAGGTCTCCCATCCAAGTATTTGCCAGAGTCAACCCTGCTTAGCTTCCGAGATCTGACGAGACTGGGTTTGCCTGGGCTATCCAGGTCAGGGCTCGAAGCAATATTTTAAAAAAATCTGCACAGCCAATCAGAAGCCTTGCTAGGCAAAAGCCCTACCTGGCCCCACCCACTTCCTGAAAACACTTGGCGGGCACCAGACAAGGTGTCGGTGGGCAGTGTAATCTGAAGCGAATTGAAAAACTGGCTGGAATCAGAGATTGGGACTGCCCTCTGCCCCAGATGCATTATGTGGTTTTCGCCAGATTACACTCATTAAGCCTCAGTTTCCCGATCTGTAAAATGAATAAAATGGTAACCTTTTCCTAACACATAGTTCTAGAATGACAATCACAGGGTAGGGTTGCCAGCTCCATATTAGGAAATACCTGGAAAATTGGGGAATGGAGCCTGAAGAGTGTGGGGTTTGGGGAGGGGAGGGACTTCAATGGGGTATCATACCTTAGAGTCCACCTTCCAAAGTGGCCATGTTCTCCAGGGGAACTGATCTCTGTTGCCTGGAGATCGGTTGTAATAATGAGAGAGCTCCAGCCATGAAGGGTTAGCAGATCCCTCCTGGCAACCAGTGGGGATGGGGGGACTTACTGGGAGAGGGAGGGAGGCCCAGCTGACGTTGCAGCAACATGTCATGGGCTGGGGTGCCAGTCAAAGGGAGTCCAGAACAGGCCAAGGTCAGGAGCCAAGAAGACAGTGCAAAGTCCAAAGCCAAGCCGGGGTCAGGAGCCAGAAACACAGAGCCAAGTCCAAAGTCAGGGAGTCCAAAGGTCTAGGTGCAAGAGCCGAGCCGGAGTGGATGCCAGCAACACAAAGCTGACTTGTTGCTTCCACGAAGAGTACTGCCCAGATTGTGGAGTTAAATGCTGCTACCAATTAGCCAGCTGCATGATCGTCCAGGCTCCTGTTAGAACTCTGGGCTAGCTGAGCGTCTCCCCTGTAGCCTGGCCTCCAGTCGCTCCCTTAAACAAGTCACATGTGGGGGTGAGTCAGGAGGACTTTCAGCTTACAGTTCTTCCTTCTTATCTGGGCCAAGTGTGAAGACTGCTGTTACAGGTACTTGCCAGCTATCCTCTGCTGCTGCAGAGGGGCCAGCTGTGGTTTCTGCAGGCTCTGTCAGTTCATCCTCATCCACGCCCATGACACAGCGTGTCTATGTCACTTCCGATGTGACCCACAAGTGACATCATCACTCTGTGCCATCCAGGTGACACTCTGGTATTTGGACAAAACCTCTATGGTAACTTTGGGTTCTATCATAGAGTTTTTGCCCAAATATCAGAGCAGTGTCGCGACGTTGCCATCATGATGACGCCACTTCTACATCACATCAGAAGTTATGTAGATACGTCGCTGTAATATTGACTGGGCCCTGCTCTTTTTCTGGATAAGTCCTCCCTGCCAACCAGCTGATTGGCAGTGGGGCAGTGGGGCCTGACAGTGGGAGATCCCGCCTCCACTGGAGGGGGGTGTCTGGCAACCCTACACTACCTGGAAGTTTGCAACCCACTCATAAGGTTGCCAGGTCCATCAAACCCGTGGGAGAGGGGTGGAGGAAGCGTTCTGGGAGTGGAAGGTGATGTACCCGTAAATAAACACGACGTCAGGGGGCGATGCTCTGGTTTTTCAGTCATTAAAGTTCCCAGCTTCCCCTTTGTACAGTGTTTCTTACTGTGGGCTAAAAATAAAAAAAATCTGAATTCAGAGAGGATACATCTATCAGTGGTAGCTGTTAGCCTTGATTACTAAATGGACCATCCACTTTCAGGAGCAGTGCTCCCTTTCAGAAGTGGAGACTGGAAGAAACCTCAGAAGGGTGCCAACAGGATGCCGTACTAGATCAGTTTTGGTCTGACCCAGCTGCAGGCTGCTGAGATGCGTGTCTTTTTCTCCTTTCTCCTCTCTTCCCAGCTCTGATGCATGCTGTGGTCTTTGGCAATGTGACAGCCATCATCCAGCGTATGTATTCACGGCGCTCCCTGTACCACACCCGCATGAAAGACCTCAAGGATTTCATCCGCGTTCATCGCCTGCCCCAGCAGCTCAAGCAACGCATGCTGGAATACTTCCAGACCACGTGGTCTGTCAACAACGGCATCGATGCCAACGAGGTAAGAATGGCTGGCTCGTCGGGATTGTATGCTAGAGAGACAACACACAACAAATCTTTATTGGCATAACAACAGCAGCATGTGAGGGCGATCTGGCTGCGACATCTGTCACCCCATTGATCACCAGGGTTGATTCGGCTGATCTGACTGGCTAGGCGGGTGTCCCCTCCCTCCCTCACCACTCCACCTGCGTCCCTCCCGAAGCTGTGCGCTCAGTGGAAGAGGACGACGATCCCAGATAGAAGGAGTGTGCCGTTCTTCAGTCAAGGGTATACGATAGCTGCGCTCCCCTGCTAGAACCTCCAAACAAGCTAGAGAGACAGAGAAGGCGTATTTGTGCAGTAACTAAAGAACGGCGGGGAGGGCGGGATACAAATAAAATAAATAAATAAAATAAATGAACCTGTAAGAGCTGAGATTATGTCCCTCCTCACCAGGGCCACGTTGTCCGGTCCTGGATACTTTCCCCAGCCTCAGTTCACCATCAGTAAAATGGAAAGGGATATGACAGGATGGTTATGGGCAGCAAACAGAAAACTGAAAAGTTCTTTGGAAATTAAAGGTGACATGAACAACATTAAGAGGATGTCTGGTACAGCCTTGTAATCTCCTGCTCTTTTCAAGTGAGGAGAACTGTGCGGGAAAACTGCCAGTTTGGTGTAGTGGTTAGGAGCATGGACTCTAATCTGTGAGAACCGGGTTTGATTCCCCACTTCTCCACATGCAGCTGCTGGAGTGACCTTGGGTCAGTCACAAGTTCTCTCAGAGCTGTTCTCTCAAGAGCAGTTCTCTCAGAGCTCTCTCAGCCCCACCTACCTCACAGGGTGTCTGTTGTGGGGAGGGGGAGAGAAAGGAGATTGTAAGCCGCTCTGAAACTCCTTTGGGTAATGAAGGGAGGGATATATATTCAATCTCTTCTTCTCTTCTTGATTATTGTGCAGGGGAACTGCCCAGTTGATTATTCAGATCCAGCTGCTCTCTTAATAGCACCCACGGAAAGGTAGTGTGATGTGGTGGTTAGAGTACTGACCTGGGATTTGGGAGACCCATTTTTGAATCTCCACTCTGCCATGGAAGCTGGCTGGGCCAGTCACGCACCTTCAGCTTAACCAACCTCACAGGAAGAAGACGAAGAAGAAGAGATTGGATTTAAACCCCCACCCTTCACTTGGAGTCTCAGGGCAGCTTACAATCTCCTTCCCTTCCTCTCCCCACAACAGACACCCTGTGAGGCAGGTGGGGCTGAGGGAGTTTTGAGGGGGCTGTGACTGGCCCAAGGACACCCAGCTGGCTGCATGTGGAGGAGTGGGGAATCAAACCCAATTCTCCAGATTAGAGTCCGCCACTCTTAATCATTACACCAAACTGGTTCCTTTTGTAAGGATAAAAATGGAGGAGAGGTGAATGATGAAAGCCGCTTTGGATCCCCATTGGGGAGAAAGGGTATAAATTAAGTAGGTAAATAAGTAATAATAAATAAGTAATTATGATAAAACATTCACCCCTTCCTGAGTGAGAGGAAAGAATTTGGCAGTCCCCCCCCCCCAGTTTATTCCCTGAACCTTGACATTGATAAACAGGTTCTGGGGCTAAGCCCTAATTCTAATCAGGACCTGGGTTTAGGGAAAACAGAGCTGTGAGTAGATCTGGAGAAAGTACTGGAGTCGCCGTGTCACAGGATCTGACTCAAAGTTTGTCTCCTCTTCAGGGTCTCCAGACCAGAATGGCTGATTTGCGCATTATGGAGAGCATAGGTTGGATCAGGGGTCCCCTCCCTGTGTCCTGCGTCTGACTCACATACAGGTTGCAGGTTCTCTTGAACTCCTGGGTGTGCGAGCGCCTGTTCAGCTCACAGCTGTGGCCTGAATGGAGAATGTGCTTCAGCCTTCCCTTCTGTGTCATTTCCCTCACTCTCTGATGGCCCAGGGATGCATGACTTGGCCTGTTGGGGAAATTCACATATAGGGCGATTTCTCACTAGAGCTGCCTCGCAGCACAGCGCCGTTTGCCCCAACACAAACATGTCAATTTCACACCCAAGGCTGCGGGGCTGCATTTGACTCGGGGCTTTGCCCGATTTCCTCCGCAGTTTCATGGTCCTCAAAAACTAGGATCACGAAGTCTGTTACAGGTTTCCCTAACAGACCAAACAGCACCCCCTACAGGCCATTTTAGGTCAGGAGAATGGCTGGGGGTGGGATCCTGAAACCAACACATGCCACAGTCACGATCCGAATTAGGCACTGTATGCGTGGAATTGAGGACAACTCACAACTTTGGTGTGAGGGTTACACAGAACACTGGGAAGGAACCCTAACCCTAACTATGGGCCCTAACCTGTGTTCTTGGTAATACGTTAAATCATCAGGATTGAGAGTCGAGAACCAAAAGCCAAGCTAGTTTGACCTCATCAGATCTTGGAAGCTAAGCAGGGTCGGCCCTGGTCAGTATTTGGATGGGAGACCACCAGGGAAGTCCAGGGTCGTTACACAGAGGCAGGCAATGGCAAACCACCTCCGTTAGTCTCTTGCCTTGAAAACCCTACGGGGTCTTCGCCATAAGTCAGCTGCAACTTGATGGCAACAAAAAGGTTCCCGCCCTGCCCCATCAGGCTCCCCCTCTGATCCGAAGGCAGAACACCTTGTGTCCCAGAAGCTTGGTGTTTTAGGGATTGAGGCTGCAAAGGCCTGGGCCAGTGCCATTTTGAAGTATTTTCCCCCTCAGATAAGGTATAATTTTGCCTCCTCGTGACTGAGAACAAGCTGAGCCCCAGTAGTGGGGGGCAGAGGCCCAACTGGGAACTGCCTGGCGGTGATGAAGGTCCAGAAGGTAACCCCTGACACTTCCTGTGCTGTAGCACATCAACAATCTTCTCACTGTACCACTGAAAGGAGCCTTTTCGAGTGGCTCGGGTAAATCCTGGACTCAGCAATCCAGAGAATAAAATGAGGCAGCCTATGAGAAAAATAGAAGGGGAACTAAGGTGAGGACTCTGGGGCTATTCTGGTTGGAAAATGGCAGAATCTTAATGTATTTAGTTAAGTATTTATTATCGGATTAGATGTTTAAAAAAATCATTTGCTTTGGAAACACTGGAGCTTTACGCCAGAGGTGTGGAGCTCATTTGTTATGAGGGCCAGATCTGACATAAATGTCACTTTGTTGGGCCGGGCCATGTGTGCCATAAAATGTAATGCCAGATCTGGAGATATAAACTTTATAAAGGACACAGGCAAACCCAGTTAACATTATTTTTTATTCAAAATCAGAGGTCATTTCGGGGGGGAACGCGGGGGAACGCAGTTCCCCCGGGTGAGGTATGGGGGGCGGGGCACATGACGAAGCCCCGCCCCCTGCTTCCGGCCGCCCCGCTTCCGGCCCTCATTCAGCCAGGAGGAGGCAGGAGAAGAGGGAGGGTAAGTTGCTTCCTCCCTGCCTCTCCCCACCCCTGTCTGCCTGTGGCCAGGGAGGGCCTTCACGGGGCTTCCTTGCACTCCCGCCGGGACCATTGGGGGCGGGGTGTGTGGCCTCATGACACACGTCCGGTGATATCAGGGTGTGTGGCCTTATGACACACTTCCGGTGATGTCAGGGGGTGTGGCATATGCTAATGAGTTATGCTAATGAGTTCCCCTAGCTCTTTTTCTACGAAACGACCCCTGCCCCCTAGCTCTTTTTCTACGAAATGACCCCTGCTCAAAATACGAGCATGCTTAAAACATTAACACAGTATTTCCTTAAAGTATCTCTTCCTCCGCCCATTACTCATTAGCACTCGGACAATATAAAGGGACATAATGCACAGCCTCTGCCAACTGGCAATAAAGGTAATGACCAGTTGCTCGTGGGCTGGATGGGCCGGTTTTGGCCCGCGGGCCGTATGTTTACCCATGCCTCATGCAGTGTCTTCAGTCTTCCACGTTTCCCGGTTAAGGGGAAAATGCTGTTCAGACCGATTACAAAGATGATCCGATTCCACTGGAAACAAGGACAGATCTGCACGTTCTCCCCCCCCCCCCCAAAACCAAACACCCAAAAAAAGCCAAGGGGAGCCTCAGTCCAGTGGAGCCTGAGTGGTGGGTGTTGCCCAGTGACACACTTCCGGTGATGTCAGGGTGTGTGGCATATGCAAATATGTTATGCTAATGAGTTATGCTAATGAGCTCCTGCACCTCTTTTTCTACGAAATGACCCCTGGCAAGTATGCTGCTGATGAAGGAGAAAGATCGGCAAATGCCATAGCGAAATTATACCTGCTTGAAGGCAGGTATAAGAAAATCCCCTACCTTGAAAGATTATGTACTTGCCCATTAAGGGAGGTCAAGTCCATCGAGCATATGTTCTTTAGTTGCCCTTATCATAAAGAGGCTCGTTTGGAGATTATTACTTCATTGCTGGATAAGATTCCTGGTTGCACAAACAAAGCCAAGCTTGACTATCTTTTATCTGATAAGAACTTTAAGATCACATATCAAGTAGCTAGATTTTGTGCATTGATACAGAGGTTACGGAAGCTATATTTTACATATGTTTTAAATTTAAATCTTTTATTTTTGTATATTTTGTACTTTGTATGTTTTTAAAATCTACTATTATAACTATATATATGTGGCTGGTCTAGCGACCGTAATAAATTATACTAGCTTACAAATACCCAACATTTATAATCTACTTTTCTCCCTAATGGAGACCCCAAGCGGCTTATACTAGTTCCCCCATTTCTGTTTTATCCTCACAACAGCCCTGTTTGTAGTAGGTGAGGCTGACAGAGTGCGACTGGCCCCAGGGCACCCAGCGGCTTCCCACGACAGCGTGGGGAGTAGGACACCTGTCTTCCAGATCCTAGTTTAACGCTGTAAGCATCACAGCACACAGGCTCTCAGTTGGAGAGTGGACTGAAATTGCATCAAGCCCCCCATCCCCCTCACCACCCCCTCTCTCCTCCCCCCCCCCAGCTCCTGCGTGACTTCCCGGATGAACTGCGAGCGGACATCGCCATGCACCTGAACAAGGACATCCTGCAGCTGCCGCTTTTCGAGAGCGCCAGCCGAGGCTGCCTGCGTGCCCTTTCCTTGCACATCAAAACCTCCTTCTGTGCCCCAGGAGAATACCTCCTCCGCCAGGGGGACGCCCTGCAAGCCAACTACTTTGTCTGCTCCGGCTCCCTGGAAGTCCTCAAGGACAGCATTGTGCTGGCCATTTTGGGTAAGGCTGGGGGAGAGCTGGGCACGCAGTCGCCCCACAGTGAACCTGGGGGGGAAGTGGAGGGGAAGGTTGGTCGTCGGGTCCAGCCAGGCCAATCGGTCACCTTAAGAACACAAGAGAAGCCATGTTGGATCAGGTCAGTGGCCCATCCAGTCTAACACTCTGTGTCACACAGTGGCCAAAACCCAGGTGCCATCAGGAGATCCACAAGCAATGTTCCCTCTAAGCTGTGGAGTCTTGTGAGCAAAACTTTGACTTTTTGAGCTCCTGGCATTAAAGCTGTGAGTGAGTGATTTGGCTACTGCATAAGTTAGTTTGCTCTGGAGCCATCCTTCCTGAGCTAAGACAAAGATGTGTGAGCCGGAGGCTAAAAAACTGTGAGCTAGCTCACACTAACTCAGCTTAGAGGGAACGCTGTCCACCAGTGGGGCCAGAACTCCAGAAACCCTCCCACTCTTGCCCCCCAAGCACCATGAATACAGACCATCACTGCCCCAGACATAGTGTTCCATATATACATTGTGGCTAATAGCCACTGATGGACCTCTGCTCCATGTGTTTATCCAGACCCCTCTTGAAGCTGGGGATTGGATAAACATATTAGCGGAGGTCCTGTGGGGTGAGCTAATGTTCCACTTAAGTGTTGGGAGCAACTTCCCCAGGATGGTGCACAGAACCTGTGGCAGAGCTGGTCAGGATATCCACCAGTGGGGCCAGAAATGCAGAAGCCCTCCCTCTGTTGTCCCCCAAGCACCAAGAACACAGAGCATCGCTGCCTCGGACAGTGTTCCATCTGTACCTTGTGCCCCCGAAGTGCCAAAGCCAAGCTCTAGCTCAGACTCCCTGAGGTCAGGAGAGGTGCTTACCATTTGCCCGCTGCCAGTGGGCAATACCCCACCCTCAGCTGCCCCTCAATAATCTGAGGAGCAGCAGAAAAGAAATGGAGGTAAAATATGTCAATGGGGACACTCTAGGAATTTCCCCTCTATGGAAAAAACTCCTGATTTGGCCACCGACTCAATCAAGGAACCCGCGGCCCTCAGCTTGCAAGACCTGAACAAGTCTGTTAATTGCAGGACATTCTGGAGGCCATTAATTCACAGGGTCACCGTAAGTCGGAAGTGACTGGCTGGCGGTTCGCATACCCGTGCAATCTGGCAAGCAGCTAGAAGGTGGAAATCTGGTCATGCCAGTGGAGAACTGGCCAGCTGATAACCCTGATCCCTGGCATCTCCAGTTTGGTTGGCAGCGAAAGAGCTTCCCCTGCTTGAGACCACGGAGAGCCGCTGCCATTCTGATCAAACAGTGGTAACTTTGGGGGGACCAAGGGTCTGACTCAAAATCCCAGCTTCAGTCCCTGTCCGTCTTCATTCAGAAGCACTTCTCCAGTAGCAGAGCTTGGAAAGACTTCCACATAAGGCTTCCCGATCTGTAAGTGTGACTTTGTAGCGTCATAGTCACACTGGCTGCCAATCAAAGTCGCCTTTGGTTCCGATTTCCCTTCAGAGGCCTGTTTCAGTCCCAGCTACACACTTCCCAGGTCAAGTCTTTTGCATTCCCAGCCATTGCTCCCTCTAAGCTGTGGAGTCTTGTGAGCAAAAATTCTACTTTGTGAGCTACCGGCATTAAATGTTGTGAGGGAGCGATTTGGCTACGGCATAAATGAGTTTGCTCCGGACACCTCCTTCCCAAGCGAAGACCAAAATGTGTGAGCCAGAGGCTAAAAAACTGTGAGCGAGCTCACACTGATTCAGTGTAGAGGCAATGTGTATCTGCTTGGTGGTCCCTGGGCGAACCCAGGGATGAACATGGGAGCGATGCATTGTGTTGTTTGGCCCCAGGGCCTTAACCGGGGGCGGGGGGGGCAGCTGCAGCACCCCCCCTTCCCGTCTCCTTCCCAGCCACCCCAGATCCTGGCTCTTTGTAGGTAAAGGGGATCTCATCGGGGCTGACCTGCCCAGCAAAGACCAAGTGATCAAGACCAACGCGGACGTCAAGGCACTGACTTACTGCGACCTCCAGTACATCAGCCTGCGTGGGCTCTTTGAGGTGCTGGAGCTGTACCCCGAGTATTCCGCCAAGTTCATGGCCGACATCCACCAGGACCTCACCTTCAACCTGCGCGAGGGCAGCGAGATTGAGGTAGGGGTGTGCCTTGCCGCGGGTGACGCCGGCGCCCGCCTGCCCCCTTTTTCTTCTTCCTTCCCCCCTGTTCTTCTAGCCATTCACCCGCCTGCAGCAGCTGCTGCCCTGCAGAGGATGAGGCCCATCGATTCCCATGGGAATCGCTCACAGCACGCCCTCTTGGAAGCTCGCCACTGCCGGTGGAAAGCCATCAGAATCCACGCTCCTGCTTCAGTGCTTTCCCCCTGCCCTCGGCTTCTCATACTTTTGTATGAATAAGGAAAGAGACGACTTATCCTTCCCCCGTAACCCCAGTTGGAGGGAAGTTTCAGGGCGCCCTGCAGCTGAAGACAGGGAAAGTTTCGGAGCTGAAGGGGGCCTGGCAGAGAGTCCCGCTACCTGTCACGTGGGGAAGCCATTTGCCAAAAATGTATCTGGGAGGGGTATTAGGGTTGTCAGGTCCCCCTTGAGCACTGGCGGGGGGTGGGGGTGGGTAGGGTTACCAGATCCAGGTTGGGAAACTCCTAGAGATTTGGGGGTGGAGCCTGGGGAGGACAGGGACCTCAGTGGAGTGTGCAATGCCACAGAGTCCACCCTCCAAACCATCAATTTTCTGCAGGGGGAACTGATCATTGCAGTCTGGAGATGACCTGTAATTTTTTTTTAATAACTTTTATTGATAGAGCATGGGAATTACATCTAAAACAACAAATAAACAGAAACATACTTACACACACGAGACATGACAAATACTACTGTATGATTATCAGAGCATATGTTTATACAATAGCTATAATGCTACTTTTGAGTTGATATAATATATTGAGATTTGTAACTAAAATGCATGATAAGTGCCATGCTTATAAGTGTATAGTTTGAGTTTAGTGCCTTTGGAAGGTGAAAAAGAGAGTTATAAAGAAGTAGTGGGGAAAGTTAGAGGGGATTAGAAGAGAAGTGAAAAATAACATCCCATGGTATTTTTACTTATAGATGACCTGTAATTTGAGGGGATCCCCAGGTCCCACGTGGAGGCTGGTGGTGTGGGAAAGGGTCCTACACGTGTACATGGATGTGTGTTACCGACCCACCCTCAGTTCGTTCTGCCTAGGTGATGCCCCGTACCAAAGGCAGAATGAATGAGTCAAACCTTTTAAGGCTAGATAAAGACCATGACAAGGTTGTTTTAAAGAAAAACAAGACTTACTTTATTAAACCTATCAAGTATCAGTGCTCTCCAGGCAAGATGCCAGCTAGGTGCTTCGCCGGAATTTTAAACCATACAAGTCATTTCCTAAAGAAATAATAAGCAAGCAAATAAACTGGCAAAGATTTCTCCGACAACGTGTGCACACAGGAGCTCCTGGACTGACCAGTGGCCTTCAGGAGAGAAAAAGTATCTCACTGAATCCCAAAAGTCAGATTGGGGCTGCAGTGCTAGAGGAGGTGTGCATAAACTCTTTGCCTCCAGACTATCTCACCAATCATAAACAGACCCTCCAAGATGCTTTCAGACTCGGGGACACACACACACACACACATACACACACACACACACACACGAGAGGTACTGATATTATATATGTCTTTTAGATGCCATCGTAGATCCCTGGCATCTTGTGCCATTTGATGCAGAGGCTTTGCCAAGCATGTGCCTTTTGCCCATGCTCCAACAGATTCCACAAGCTTCCTGATCAGCAGTGGAATAAATTCTGCAGGTCAATGCTCCCTCTAAGCTGCGGAGTCTTGAGAGCAAAAAATCTGCTTTGTGAGCCACTGGCATTAAAGCTGTGAGTGAGAGATTTGGCAGCTGCATAAATCAGTTTACTCTGGAGCCATCCTTCCTGAGCTAAGACAAAAATCTATGAGCCAGAGGCTAAAAACTGTGAGCTAGCTCACATTAGCTCAGCTTAGAGGGAACCCTGGCTGATACACTGAAGGGACTGGATAAAAGTTGCAGGACTTGGGTTACATGGACGACTGCACAGCCTCCAGGTACGGCCTGGAAATCGCCCAGATTACAACTGATCTCCAGACTACAGAGCTCAGTTCCCCTGGGGGGGGGGGGAATGGCTGCTCTGGGGGCTGGACTCCATGCCATTATATCCTGCTGTGCCTCCCCTCCCCCAACCTCACCCCTCACCACCCCCAAATCTCCAGGAATTCCCCAACCTGGAGCTGGCAATCCTACATGCAAAGTATAAACAGCCTCAAAGAAGAAGCAGGCGGGGCCCCAAAATCTAACAGTCTCTGACCCCCTGAATTCCAGCCTTTCATTGCAATATTTCCTGCAGCTAGAACAGAACTCACTTTCGCCACCCAGATTAAATACACAGTTTAAGACTGACGGCTGGGCTCTGCACAGGTTCTTTAGCTCTGTTAGCATGGCCTATTAAGTGCGAGGACTCTAATCTGGGAGAACCGGGTTTGATTCCACACTCCTCCACCTGCAGCTGCTGGATGACCTTGGGCAGGCCATAGTTCTGTCAGAGCTGTTCTCTCAAGGACAGTTCTCTCAGAGCTCTCTCAGCCCCAAGCAGTAGTACATCTTCTTTTCTAGTCTGTAACTAGTGAGGTTTTCTCAGAGACCATTTGGGAGTGGGGAGAACAGGGAAATAAGCCAACTCCATCCCCCCAGTAGCCTACAAATCTCCAGGTTCCTAGTCTTTTTTTGGTGACCATTGGGAGACCAAATTCGGCCTGTTGGTCAGTGCATTCCTAAGCAGAGTGACATCCTATAGAGACTTTGGTGTAACTGTGTTTAGGATTGCACTCGGTGACTCCTCGGATAGGCTTTTTTGCCCAGGGATGTAACTTGGCAGTTACAACTAATGTTCCCTCTAAGCTGTGGAGTCTTGTGAGCAAAAATTCCACTTGTGAGTTACTGGCATTAAAGTTGTGAGCGAGCAATTTGGCGACTGCATAAATTAGTTTGCTCTGGAGCCTTCCCAAGCTAAGACAAAAAGATGTGAGCCGGAGGCTAAAGAACTGTGAACTAGCTCACATTAATTCAGCTTAGAGGGAACACTGGTTACGACCTGCATCTCTTCTTTCTCTTGAATCCAGAAAACTAAGTTGGTGCTGACTTTATGGCTCAGTTTGCCTCATGATCACTGCGCATGTCCTCAGGGGTGGTTATAAGTGGGAAAGGGCCCTCAGAAAGAACAGGAACAAAAATCTACTGGTTTGGGATCCAGCAATGTGCAAGCAGGAACCTCAATGGACTCAGGACAGTTCCGCTTGCGCAAGATCTTGTGCGAGACCTGGCACTTTCCTCCCTGTATATCACAGTTACACAGAATTTGGTCACGTCAGACCTTGCGCATGTGGAAATGCAGGTGGGAATATGATACATTTGGCTTAGTGCAAAGGGCTACTGCAGGCCTTCTCGTGCCTTTCCACTTGCACCAGAGCTCAGGTACAAGTGGAAATTTTGGCAGTGGATCCAGCTGGCTCTGTAGGAGGTTGGCTGGCTTTAGAGTAAGGAGCCATCCTTGCAAAGCTATTTCAGAGTCAAGTTTCTGGGATTTTGTAGCAATACCAAAGAGGTACTTTGACGGCCTGCCCGAACCCTTTGCAGTTCCCTTCCCGGGTACAGCTTTGCTGCTCTTTCCGCCCAGTCTGAAAAAATCCCACCATTTTGATCCATGCCCACCCAGCTTTCTGATCCATGCCTATTACGGGAGCTGGATCATTCTCCAGGTTAATTGCTTGGCTTTGTGCCCCATTTCCTTTAGGCACCTTACAGAACAAGCTCCCCATGTTATGGAATATCAGCACATTTCCCCTTCCTCCCTGTCCCTTTGTAATGATATTCCCCTGACCTCTTCCTCCTCCCATTCCCTCTTCAGTTCTCAAACCTACATAACACCTCCTGATCTCTTAATTGTGGGTTAAGAGAGAGAGAGAGAGCACACCTTGTGCAAGTCTTACCCTTGGTCCTCTGCCATATTCCTTGAGCTCAGGTGCCTCCATCTGCCCCCACAATGCCCCTCTCCTTTCTCTTTTCAGAGCGAAGAATGGTTAGCATTCCATCTGCATGAGCTGAACTAACCTTTAGTTGATTTGCCAAGCCCAGGTCGGCTTTTAACTGGGGTTTGAATCCATGGTTGGATTTTGATTGAAAGCTAACCGTGGTCAGCTTGGTGCAGATTTACTATCCGGAGTTAGCACTGAAAGTGTAAAGGAAGGGGAGATTTGAATGGGAAAGGAAAAGCACTTGAGGCAGCCCCAGCTCCTAACCACAGTTAAGAAATAGGGGATTATACTGAAGGCTCCAAAGAGGCAAAAATCACATGTCTTGTTCCATCCATAAAGTTCAGAGTGCAGATGCATGCAGCCTCAATTTGCCTCATGGCCATGCAAGGGAAAGGCGGTTTAACCCATCAGTCTCATTTGGATTTGTTCTTTGGAACTGTTTTCCCCTGAAATGATGATAACAAAGCAGGGAGCCCAGTTAAGAACATAAGAGATAAGCCAATGTTGGATCAGGCCAATGTCCCATCCAGTCCAACACTCTGTCACACAGTGGCCAAAAATACCAGGAGGTCCAGCAGTGGGGCCAGGGCAGTAGAAGCCATCCCACTGTTGCCCCCCCCCCAAGCATCAAGAATACAGAGCATCACTTGCCCCAAAACCAGAGTTCCTATCTATACCTTGTGGCGAATAGCCACTGATGGACCTCTGCTCCATATGTTTATCCAATTCCCTCTTGAAGCCGTCCATGCTTGTAGCCACCACTACTTCCTGTGGCAGTGAATTCCACATGTTAATCACTATAAGAACAGTTTCAAATTGCAAAACCGGTGGAAGGCTTAAGCATCCAGCCGGCTGTGTTTATATGCTGCATGGAGGCCACTGAAGTAGCTCCATGTGGCAGCTGTTCAGGACATAGTGTGTGGCACACACACAGTAGCTTGCCACAGGGATCAGGAAACATCTTCTCTTTATCTCACCAGCAAAAGCAAGTGGTAACCATTTCCCTGGTCCACTTCAGGTTGCGAGAGCAGGTGAGTGGGGCA